CTAAAACTTCAGATTAGACTATAATAAGAATATTAATGAAAGAAATAGACAAAACAAAAAATGCAATCATTGATATATGATAGTTACAAAAACAAGTCATATATTGTTTTCTTACATATTCGTATTGCAAAAAAGAAAACTAACTAAAAATTTTCTTATAGATTGACGATTTTCAATAAATATTTTAAATAAATCAATACCATTAGACAATATAAATATATCAAAAGTTTTTGATGTAGCGTTTATATGCAGCTTATGAATACTTATCTTTCTTTGTCTTAAATTTATTTCGAAGTGTTTTTTCGCTACAAAAGTCTCTATTGATATTTTTTTTAATATTTGACTAGAGCTGTCGTGTTACCATTCAGTCTAATGCTTTAGCGTTATTGGCATTAGAATTAGTTGATACTTGGATGTTAGCATTATTATTAATTCTAACATATATATTTCAGATAAATTTTCAGGGACTATCGGGACATCATACCTGTAGTGCTTGTACAACTCATGTATATTGTCGAACTAAATAATAAATGCAAGTTTAAATTGAGATTTCTGCAATCTCCTCTCTCAAGTTCTAGCAACTGTGTTAGCAGGATGGAGAAGAAGGTGGCTGAGTAGATTTTCATAGCTTTTGCGGTGGACAGTATAGTCCATTAGTCCAGGTCGAGTTCAGATCTAAAATATTTTTGCTAATCGGGTCTGGATCCTACAGTTTTCGGACCGAACGAGCTATAGTAATCAGACTAACATTGGTTGAGAATGATTCACTAGCAATTTATCGAGGGAAGAATGTTATCAATAATTGTGTACGTTTCCCTAGCAACGGGAAAAGAGATGTCAAGAATAATGGTCCATAGATTATTCTGGAACTTTCTGGAATGTTCGAAAGCATTTATTGATGTAACATGGATTTTGGTCCATGTCTGACTCTGGATGTGTGTGAGGAGAAGGCGATACTCACACACACACACACCCAAAAACTGAGTCAATTAAAAAAACATTTCAAAGTATTATGCCAGATTTTCTTATTTTCTGGAAAATGTATGTTCTTTGCCTGAAATCAAAAATCATCAAAAAATTGAAGCTTCGGAAATGGAAGGAAGCCAATACATTTCACTCAGGTTTGTATGTTGATTCCAGGTCTACAATTTTTATGCTAAAATGACAGGCTGTCAGTGGCAAAAACCTCGTATTGCTGGGAGAATTCTATATTTAGGGAGTCCTGAACCATAGATAAGGGATTCTTTTATCTTCAACAAAGTAATATTTCTGAAAACAAAAGTTATACTTTCGAAGTACACTGTGAAGCATTTCCAATGATATATGCAAGTTAGCTGTACCTTGGCATAGAACAAACAAGAGATGCATTTCATCAGAACTCATCGATATGTTGAAATATTACGCTTTTTGATAATTACATACTTGAAGATTACCAAAAATTACTCTCACAGATTTAATTTTTATGAAGACTCTAAACTACTTTTTGTATTTTGTACAACTCAATACCTTAAAAAGCTACAGATATGATATCAAAGTAGTCATGCTAATACGACACTCCTATATTTGACAACCTTTTGTTACTTTTATTCATCATTTCATAGGTTTGTTACACATATTACTGTAAGTTCGTTTACTACTTATAGTAAATGACTAAAAATGATTAATATAGATTTAAAAAAAAATTAATAAAAGAAAAATTAATATCCCAGTTAAACTAACGAGGAAACTTTTCCAAGTATCAAATCACTTTTCGACCGAGACAATATTTATTTGATGAGTATTAATGAGTAATATAAAAGTCCAGTATAATATTCGAAATGTATGATTCCAACGTTCAGAAAGGAAATTATAATAGAGCTAAAAGTTGTACAATCAACTAATCTCATTGAGAAACTTTGTTCGTGTAAAGTTTGTCGTCAAAACTCTTACGTGATCTGAGCAAAACTATAGTTTTCTGTTGAAAAATCCAGTAAAATTTCGATATCTCAAGAACGAAGGCCCGAAAACCAAATCATTCTAGACTTTTTAAACTATTCTCTAGCATTCATCAAATAACTACCAACGACAAAATGACTGCGAATCACATTTTTTTATGTAACTTTTGATAGAAACAAGATAGGAAGTTGCAGTTTCCGCCGTTGGAAAGCGGAGATAAAGAAGCATGGAAACGTATTTTACAAACTTTTCTAAATATGCTTTTTGAGTCTTTTAAAGTCCATTTTCCAAAAATGGGTAGGGAAAAAACAGTTTTTATCAAACAGAAAAAAAGAAAAAAAGTTTTATTTTTCACAGGAACTGTTAGAAAAATCGGCTTCTAGTTCCGAGTAGAATACTTATAACTCCTGAACGATTGAAGCTCAGAATCTGAGCGGTGCACAGTTTTATAGATATTCAATTGTCGCTTTCAATATATATCAGATAGTTGAAAATTCCTTGTAGTCATCTATCAAAAACGTTGTTTCACAAAAAGCTCAATTGAAAACTTTAGAAAAACCAAGTCAAAAAGTCTATAACATATGATTCAATGCGTCTTAATTTCCTCTTTCCAATAGTGAAAACCGCAGCTCTCTATCTGGTTTCTATCAAAAGTTACATAAAAAAATGTGATTCGCAGTCATTTTGTCGTTGGTAGTAAGCATCGTCTCGGTCGAATAACGCGATTTAACATCTGAAAAATTCTCTCATAATTTATGTCAATCATTTATTTCATGTTGTTTTATTTATCGACTTAAAATTAAGATTATATTCTAATAAAATTATTCGATAATAACAGCTGCTCATAAATACTTTTGATAGTTATTGTTTAACATCATTGAATTTTGTCTTCAACAACAATTATTACAAAAAAAACAAAAGACTATTTTTCGAAATGAGCAAAAATAAATCATCAAAAAATAGAAATTGCTGGAATAGAATTATATTCACTACAATGAACTGCTCGTTTACCAAATAAACACCAACCAGCAAAACCTTTTGTATTATTCTTTTTACATAAATCTATTGTACATTCAGCACATGATCGTCTAAATTTGTTTAATATGAAATTTAATTCTTAAATAAAACAACAAAAAAAAAGAAACAATAATAAACTTACGGATAGAATTTATTAATTGGTTTATTTCGACAAAAACAATCACATTGAATAGTCATAGTCAAATTTATAGAGATGATTAAAATGAGAAATGAACAGAAGAAATTAAACATGAATTTATTTTAGATTAATATTTAAGAATTTAGAGTTAAATGAAAATAAAAACATTGTTACTAAGTATTCGAATATAAAAGTAAATTACATTATTATGGCGCTATGAGTCAATTTAGATTAGCAAACAAGATTAGTCATTTTTTTTTTGTTTTATATTAAACACAAAATACAGAGTAGCTCATAAAATATTGTGATATCTCTGCTTCGGTTCAACTGAATGTATTGATTTTTTAGTTCGTGATAGAACTTTTTACATACGGATAATGCAACTAAACTCTACTATTGTTGGCATCAATAAAAATAACAAGAAGAAATCAAAAGAAACTTTATGAATAATATACTATATCGATACACGTATAGGAAATTTCCAAAACGAGTCAATTGAAAAAACTGAAATTCCTATCGCATCACTAAAACATACAGTTGAAGTTCTCTAAAGCATCAAAACACTAATTTTCCTCCAAACAAAAAAAAAATCGGTGTTCTATGTTTGAAAATTACAAATATTATAACTGTCGGCTTTTAAACATATAAAGTAGTGTACTTTGTAAGGAGCTACAGATCTATTCTTTTATGGGATCCGAACCCAATTAATTCAGATTTAGATTCCACTGGAGATCTAAATTCGAAGTTTTTCCTCACCTATATAATCTCCTCTGCGTAGATAAATAAATCAAGGTTTCAGCGGTTTTTTGATTATATTGAGAAATAGAGCCGTTAATGCAATCCTTATAAGATTAAAATATGAAACACGATATAGCCGCTGTCGCTAATTACTGAGAAACTATTTTATATATTGTAACGAGACTTTATTGATGTACGGTCTTCGATCGTATATCAACAATGTCTGCTATGAGTCGTTTCTAACAGTCTGTGTGTGAGAGGAGTGAGCACGCTATATACTTCAACACTCCTTTTAAATCCGTCTTACATAAAAGTTCATGTAGATTTCTTTCTTGTTGTTCATTTTTCCATTGCTCTTTTTTCTCAATAGATTAAATCTATTCGTTTCATTGAAAAGAATCTCATATTATATCTAAGAAAGAAACTATAAAAAAATTAGTTATATGCGTTGATTTATATGATTTCTATGTTTGTTTATTTTTTGTTCCTCGTAACCTCAGTTTTTTTTCGACGCATTTGCAATGACGTATCTTCTTTTCAATTATAGAATTAAAAATAGAAACAAGAAAATTTAAAAAAAAGAAAAGAAAGCAATTATAATATGTTGACATCGGATGCTCCCTATTCACACTCGTAGTTGAATGCACACCAAGTTTGAAAAGACCTGCAGCTTTTTCTTACATTATAAAATTTTTTTACATTCAAGTAATTCATAAGACAATGCTTGTAGGAAAAAAAAAGTGTTTCTATCTGATGAAGAGAAATCTATTCATTATGTTTTTAGAAAAAAAAAAGCAACAAGATATAGACGGCCTCAAAAGAAAAGAAAAACAAATAATCATAACTCTATCCACTTTATGAGAAAGAAAAATCAATAATGAATATTAATAAAAAGTACGAGTCTCTCTTCAGAACATATAATTTATAAGGTTTCACACTTATAATAGCTCATACTTTCACGTTGTCAGATGTATTTTATTAAAGATAAGAAATATGTCACTATCTGTTTCCTTATAAATAAATCTATATCATTCTGTTTAATTTTATTAAATAACATTAATATTCACACCAAAGAAACAATTTAAATGTTGAAAAAAAAAATAATATTAACTTGCATAAAAATCAAACAATTTTTATCTGACATATTAAACAAATATTTTTTTTGTACATATTAAATTGTATCTTTTTTATAACAAAGAATAATATCTTCATCGGTTCCAAATGCTTTTCTTGCAAGATCAAAATTTTCTTTTGTTGTTGTACAAAATTCATCATTTCGACCTGGATCAACATAACGAATAAAATCATTATTTTCATTTGTTATATAACCAATAACAAGTATATAATGACCTTGATAAGATGATGAAATTTTTGAAACTAATTTATCAATTAATTGATGAAAAATTGTTGTTTTACATGTACAACATTCAAGTTTATTAGCATCAATTAAAACTAGACAAGGTGTTCGTTGTTCAATTAAATGTTTTTTTAAATCCAACCAATCTATTGAACTTAGTTTAACATTTGATGATTCCTTAATAAATAATTTATCAACTCTTTCTCGATCTTTATCAATTAATGTTTGATAATACGGTGTATTATTATATGTTGATGAACAACCTATTGTTATTGTATATAGAATAGCATGAATATTTAATTGATGAAGTAGATGTAATAAATCAATAGTCCAGGTACTTTCATTACATTCATAAGAAGATAATAAATATTCAAATGATGATAAATCAAGATGATAATAATCAATAAGCATTCGTAAACATGTTATACCACAATCCCAATTTGATTGCTGTTTTAGGTGTTTTACCGGTAGAATGAAAGTCATTATCTGGAAAGAAAAAAGAAATAGCTACTAGCAATAAATTGAAGAACAATCGTGTTCTTTCACCTCTCATAGACAAACATTCATAGTGCTTCTCGTCGCTAGGTGCTTCCATTGTATGTCAATACACAGTGTACAATAATACGAGGAAAAAGGAGGAGAAAAAAAAATTGAGAACATTGTATGTGTGATAAGAAACAAATCAAAATTTAAAGTAACAACCAACGATAGTAGAAAAAAAAGGAAAGAAGAAAAAAGAAAAGAAATTTGATTCTATCAAACAACATCTCCATCACTCAGGCCAACGCCACAACTGAATCGCTTAAATCATTAATATATTTGTGTCAATGGCTGATCGTCGTACTAACATTCCAACTGAACCTTATGGTACAATGACTACGAAAACAACTGCACCAACACATTCTGTACGAGATGAAATTCACGCATCAGTTACTGGTAGTGGACCATCAGCATCTATAGCAGCAGCAGCAGCAGCTGCAGCAACAATTATTCCTGAACGTCGTCAATCAGTTTTTCGACGTTTATCAATGTCAATGGGTAGTAGAAAATCTTCAATGTTACCTTTACCTAATCAACCACGACCAAATACATATCGTATGGAACCCGATAATGAATATCGTTTTCGTCCTTATCGTGTTCAACCTAAAGTACTTGAAATATTAATAGATCGATTAAAAGATAAAACATATGATGAAGCAACTATAAATGAACTTGTTAAAGATATAACAAGAAATGTTCATCAATTAATGAGAAATTTTCAGTTACCACGTTATAAAATTATTGTTCAAACAGTTATTGGACAAAAATTTGGCGAGCTTTTACGTATTGCATCACGATGTTTATGGGATCCAAAAACAGATAATATGATATCAGTTAATTATGAAACGAAAGATATGATTGCTGTTGTTACTGTTTATGCTGTATATCTTGAGTGACTGATTAATATATATATATATATATATGTAGGAAACCTATTCTATGGTTTATTTTATTTGACCATTCAGAAATAAATATTCAATGAGGTCGCTCATGGCTTTAGCGAAAATCATTTGCCTTTTTGTTTTCTTTTTTTTTTGCTTAACTTCAATCTCTCTTGTAATAAATTCTATTCAGAATAGATTATATTTATTTCATATGGAAAGATATGAGATGAAGTACTTTTGAGAGTATTATAGACAAAACCAAACATATCATTTTATGACTAGACTTTATTGCGTTGAAAACTAAAATTAGATATAATTGACAAGGCAAAAGTCTTGTCTTAGTAATTGAATATCTAGACTATTATCTATAAATAGAAGGACAAAATTATTATAGACTAACATTAATATAAAATAGTTAGTTCTGACATAGACATAAAACATGCAATTGTCGATTTTGATCAGTATGGGTTTTATTTTGTTGATGATGATAATATGTGTGAATAGTTATGGGTGAATATGTCTATAATATTCATTTCTCAATCGAGTACAATTTTCTGTTTCTTTTTTTGTTTTTAGAGAAGCTAATTGTATATGTAGAAATTCTTCAAAATGGACTAGAGATTGTTGTGGTTCTACTGGTGGATATTTTATTTATCGTAAATGTTACAATACATTCGGTTTGTCTTTTATTCAATGTTGTCAATATATTGGATTACGTGGAGCTTGTGTCGGTTAAATGAAAAATGATTTTTTTTTCTATCTAAGGATATCATGAATATGTATTTTTCTTTTTGTTCTTAAAATAAAATCCTTTTAGATTGTTTATTTTTACTGTTTGAATTGTTCTATTAATAAAAAAATAAAACTTTTTCAACGATTCTTCGTTCTTTAAAATCCTGTTAAATGATAAGTTATCATTAATAATTATTTTCATAATAGTTTAATTTATATTTCATACATGATATAGTTTGAATATGATTTAATCTGTAGATTTTTAATCGTATGATTTTTCTCATATATAAATACTTACACGAAAATAAAATATTTATATAATCTTCTACTTTAGTCAGTATATTTCATATGCAAAACGGATTTAAACAAGTGTAATAATACTACAGAATCATTCATTCTATTCGATAGTAAATATGAAAAAAATAGGCTTATGAGAAAGAAAGAGATAGCTATCCTGATGTAAGAATTATGGTATTTTCTAGAACAAATACTGCTCAAGATTATGAATATAAACTCTACTTAGTTTTTTGAAATCGAATAAAACGAACGATTCTATAGAAATGTGAAAGTTTTTATCTATGTTCACTTCATTTGTCAGTGTCGACTATTTTAATTTTTATCGCAGGTTTTAAATATGTGAGAAAATAGTCTTATATTCATATCTACTCTTTTATTAATTCAATTACATTCTATAATATTGTTGGATTTCTTAAGAAAAATGGCAACCACCATTTGTTGAATAACTTTTAACTAATATGAACTAAACACACATAGCTATCATTGAGGTCGACTGTTGATGAACGGTAAAGCGACTGAAAGTATTACATTGATGGCAATTGTCCGTAAGATGACCATATGAGTTCAATGTTTGATTCTAACGGAGGACATAACGCATTATCGAATCAATCTGCATCCGCAGGTTCTGTGATATTCACATATTTTAAGTTTGGATTGCATTCTTTATAATGAGCTCTCCATTACAAACCAATATCTCGAGTTGTACATAAGTAATTATCATTCCAAGATGAAGACATTTCAAACATGCGAACACACCACCAACCGTTTATACGAGAAATCGAGTTAAACTGGAATTAGAGTGGAAAATTGTGTGTGTTCACTTTTCTATCAAAGACGGATACGGCTTCAAGTAATCCATTGCTTATTAATTTAGCTACTTCCATTATATCTGAATTTCCACGCGAAAAAGTTAAGTGAAAAATTTCCAGTAAACATAAAAAGAATATCATTCGGAGGATACTCGTGATGATCTATTTAATTGAGAAAGATGCGAGCAAAAAAATGAGTGCAAAGTCATAGTCAAATTCCTCAACGTTGCCAAGTTCGGCTGTCAAATTGTAACTATATTTATACTCAGCTGTTTGATTATACTCTAGTGTAGCTGACGTGTATAAATTAGCGTTAACAGTAGTTTATTATTTTTAATCTACTGGAAAACAAAATCCGAACAAACAGAATAGTCGTCAATTGATCAAGTATTCTACATTAAAATCTTCATGTAAGTATGATTCTGTAAATAATACTACAAGTATTCAATGCTTAATTTTTGAAAGTTTGGACCAATTCAAATTGAATATTATAGTATCGAACATTATAAATCATCCCTATTTCGTATAATAGGATTGGTAATAAATATTTCAGTACAAAGTGAACTCCAAGTCTTCCCAAATTCCAGGATAGACATATCGATATATCTATATTCATTTGAATAATTTATTATTCGAGAGAGTTTTCGTAAGGAAAATCACCTTATGGATTTACATCACTCCACTCGAAAATTATAAATTTCAACTTCCCTATACCATCCTATAAATTCATGTTTTTGAAGATTTACTGGTAAAAATATGAGATGCATTGAATGAGTCTATGAGGAGTTATAAACGAAATATTGTCAAGACTTAAGCCTTTTCCTGTGAATTTTCGCTAAATTTGGTAGGTTTTTGTATTTCTTAATTTTCTCAGCATGAATTCATCAGTTTGCGGCGGAGTACGTCTCAAAACATAAAAGAAAAACTTCTAGCAAGACTAGTTTTTGTTATGTTCTGTGGATGATCTATCATAAATTACACAGTATTATATTTGACTTATTGCATTGTCACGTTTCTGGGATATTTTAAAGAAACATACCAAGCTTATTTTCTGAAAGTTCGTTGAAAACTGCAGTGATTTGAATAGAAAATATCGAGAAAAAGATGCGTGAAAATTTTTGAAAAGGTCATTACAAGACAATTTAGAACTTAAAAGACTCATGCTCATATCTTGAGACATTAACATACAAAATATAACCATTTTAAACTGATTTAACAAATGCCGAGTGAGTCATACTCTCAGAACTTTAAAACAAATAGTTGTACCAGGCCGAATTGACCAGTCTAATCGTATTGTAGTCATATTTAGAAGATTTCAATACATAATTTTGTAGAACTCATTAAGAGTTATAAGATGTAATATTTGGGTTTCGATTTAGAGTGAAAAATCAATGATATATGCAATAAGGAAAGGATTTTTTTCCTTGAACAACTTATACCTACATGCGAAAATCACAAAAAGTCGAATCTATCTATCTCTCTAAAGTGTTATCTGAACATGTTGAAAATTTGATTACAGTCACAATTTCTACTGATCTTTTTACTATCAAGTTCAGAATTTCAAAATACTATCGTCAAGTAGAAAATGTTTTCTAAATGTTCTTGAAAACTCATAATCTCATGTATGAAATTTAGCGACTCTCATTGTTAGATATCGTCGTACATGTGAACTTTATAACCATTCTGAAATTTTCAGCCTACCTGGCTGAGCTAGAATAATAAGATATTCAAGTTTCAAAGATCTATAAATCATATGTAGAAAATTAAATAAATAATTCTCTTCTATTTTTGTAAGAATCTCTCGTTTACTAATTATGTTCTTTAACTGGTTAAAATTTATTCTTGATTCATAATATACTTAATTTTTCTTTTTAAATGAATTTCATATGTATATATTTCTTTTGATTTTTGATCTTTTCCATAAAAATAAAAATAATAAACAAGGGTATATAACTCATTAAAGTAATATATATAAATATATATATATATTTATAATTATAAGGACAAGGTGAAAAACAAAAAATAAACAAAATTTTTATAAACTGATCTATATTAATAAATCATTTTTTTGTTGTTGTTGTTGGTTTACCATTAATAGTCTTTTTTAAATCAACACCAGTTGTTGATTTTGGTGTACCAGCAAAACTTTCACGTCTCATTTTAACAAGACCTTGTGTTGTACCACCCATAATTGTTTTTGATGGTATTTCTTTTTTAATTGATTGTTGTGTTATTTGATTAGATATTGATGTACGTTTCATACGTTCAGCAATATTTGAACTAACAATTGAATTTGATGATTTAGGTGGTGGCATACGTTCATTAACTTTATCAAGTATTTTAACTGTTGAAAAACGTTCTTTATTTGAAACATTTGTATCTCGAAGTTTATTTGCAGCAACTTCTGCTTCAGTTTTAACATTATCATTATTATTTAATTCTGTTAAACTAGTTGATGGTGTTAAACCACGTAATGTAACAACATTTTCACTTAATTCACGTAATGATTGATAAGCTTTAGCTACTTTACCTAATGCACGTATTTTTGAACGAATTTGTTCTTTACGTTGTTCACGATTATTACGTTCAATTAATGAATCGATATGTGCATCATGTTCAGCTAATTCTTCATCTGTACATATATTAAGAATATTTAAAAGTACATCAATTATTTTTTCACCAACGAATGGTAATGACCATGAAAATACATCCATAAAATTTGGTAACCAATATGGATGTGGTGAACAATTAAATTGTCGAATATTAACAACATTATTTTCATATTTCATAATAGCTGCTTTATTTTGATAAACATCTAAATAATTTGGTGCTGAAAAAATTGTTATTAATGATGGAAAACCAGTTTCAGCTGATTTTTTATACATTCGATAACCAACATCTTGTGCTTCATGAGCACGAATTACTGATAATATCTGATTATTTATTAAAAATTCATTAACAGCAGCATATGTATAAAAATAAGAACATCCACGTGTTGTATTTGGTAAAAATAAATGTTCACTATATGATGGAATTGTTTGTGATGAATCATTATTACTAGTATGACGTTTTGATGTTGATGATGAAGTTTCTTTTTCATTTCCATAATCTTCAACTGGATCAGACCAAAGAAGATCACACATTGGACCATATGGTGGAGGTTCATGAAATCGATCTAACTAAAGAAAAAAAATAAATAAAATTCATATAATCATTCAATTATTTAAATTTAATTTCAACTGTTGATTTTTAATTTTCATTTCTTTTATTATTTATTTAAAGATTTTGTAATAACTAATAAAAAATAAAACATATATATTAATGCGACTTAGAATTAAAATATATAATTGTAAAAAACAAAACCTTAATGAATAATATTTTAATTTATTCAATCAAATAAATAACACTTTGATATAATTGAGTGATAATGTCAATATAAATAATTAAAAAATATTCCATAACATCGGAACATTATTCTATTTATAGTAGACATAGTTCGTCTAACACACAAAATCGATGAGAATTATTTTCTTGAAAAATAAAAATAAATAACATCCATTACTTAAATCTATTCAGGACAGACAAAATGAAATATTCAATTATTTTCTACCTTGATAAGTAGAAATCAAGAACTCTTAAGCAGATAACAATCATATTATTTTTTCCATCCTTAAGGAGAAATAAGATAGAATAAACACATATACATATAACTAAAGGCATTATTCAACAAGACAGTCATTTATGACTGTTAAGATATATGTTTATATTCTTTTCGTTTCATTACCTTCTTGAAATATATGATTCTGTATGGGTTAAAGTATTTCTCCATAAATGGAAACTATTTCCTAATTGACTAATCTTATTATCTACTGCTGTGTATGTAGACAATGAAGTTTTT